GCTATAGAAAACACAGGGTTTTGGCCAGTGGAAAAACGTGGAGATTACTAGGTTTCGTCATGATGATCATAGTGACAACGAGCATGGAGCAGGAAATGCTACCCATTCCAGAGGAAATTTTCCCCGTCGCCCGATTTTTCTTCAACCTGATTGTAAAAGGCAGAACCGGAAAAGTGATTGCCCTGTTTCTTATAATGTCGCGATGGTTCCGATATAAAACCAAAATAGTTCTCGCGGAAAATCTGGCTGGCTGACCATCTCCTTCTCGTACACCCTCAGCCTCGGCTCCTCGCTATATGTTTCAGCCTAGCCAGGTTTGTCATCACTTGAAATATGTTGATTTTCGAAAGATACTTCCTCAACATGCCCTGTGCGGCTTTAATCGAACTTCTTGAAAAGCCGCGGTTGACGTTTTCCTGATGGATAGATTCGTCATGCACTAGTTTGAAGCCGAAGAAGCCGGTTAGAATTCTCTTGTTTTTACTAATCAATCATATTCTTCTCTGTATTAACCACAGTTTGAAAGAACTGGTCTCAACATTGACACTTCAAAGTCCACTCTTTCTCCTGTCCAGTACGTCGTGAAAATTCCCACTTGAATTTTTATATTATTTTCCTGTTGCGGTTGGCTAAGACCATGAGCATAGGGCTCCCGCTAGTAGTAGAGTCTCATCTCTTTCGAAAAGAGAAATGGCCTATCGCCGTCTCCTCCTTATTCTCACGCTCGGCCTCTTCGCAGCACCGGCTCAAGTTTCAGGCCAACCGGGTCAGTAGCATCTCTCTCTCATCAGAAAACATCAAACGAAGAAGAACAAGCTCTCATCTCATATTTTGACAGGTTTCTTGAGCCTGGACTGCGGAGCTTTTGACAGCCACACTGATGACAATGGCATCAATTGGACACCCGATGACAGCTTTATCACCACTGGAGTCCCAGCCTCCATTTCAAGCTCCTTGAAAGCGGGCACGGCCATCCTGCAGCGGCTTCGATACTTTCCAGACACCTCCCGGAAGCACTGCTATGCACTTCCGGTTTTGGTGGGAGAGAACTACATCTTGAGGCCGTGGTTCTACTATGACCGCCTGGAATCAACTTTGGCGGAATTTGAGATTATGATTAGTGCAAACACAGTGGTTAACTTGAGGATTAAAGGGCAGTCGACATCGTATTATGAGTTTGTGGTGAAAGCCACGAACTCGACGCTGGATCTGTGCCTCGGAACCCGCTCCGCCTCACCGGCAAACATCCCATTCATCTCCGCGATCGAGCTCAGAAGGCTCCCTCCTGGAATGCGAGCAAATGCTTCGGATTCCAGTGAGGTTTTGGTCATGTCGAGAAGGATCAACCTTGGAGCAGCTTCGGATTCAGACATCAGGTGACAAACTCCCTCAGATATTTGTATCCTATCTTCTTTTCATCTTAATTCTGCCAGGTATCCTGATGATCCCTACGATCGGATATGGAGAGCTGATAATGGTTTCAGCAACATAAGGAGCTATCCGCGGATTAGCACCAACGCAACGGGTTTTACGGACAAAACTTACAACAAGCCTCCTCCTGCGGTGATGAGAACCGCCATCACCTCCACGTCCGTCATGGTTTTCGAGTTTCCAGCAAACCTCGATGCAACAAAGTACTATGTAAACTTTTACTTTGCCGAGTTTGGAAACAGCACGAGGGATTTCGTGGTTCAATTCAACAGAAGCTCGTTTCCCACCACACTGACTACGACTAATGTTAGCCTCCAGCCTCAGACTTTTGTGCAAATGTACTTTCCAGTTCTTCTGGAGCTCTCCAATCCAACACCCTTCTCCTTCGTCCCAGCGCCGAACGGCTCAATCCTGAATGCGGCCGAGCTTTTCAAGTACATGGGAGATCTTCTTCCAGGAACAGAACCCGACGATGGTCCGCCCGATTGCCTTTTGTTCCTGAAACACCTTCTGTTTGATTTGCTTTTTCTTTGCTGCAACAGTGATAGCGATACGGGAAGTGATGAACGATTTTAATCTGTCTGGATGGTCCGGAGATCCATGCCGGCCTGTCTCTTACACTTGGAGATGGATCACTTGTGCCACAGGCATAATCCCGGCAAGGATCACCGAGCTGTGAGTGAGATTAGGAGGAGTTCCCTCGAGAAAGAACTTATATATATGTGAATCTACAGGAACTTATCCAACCGTGGTCTCAAAGGCAACATATCCGGATCCATCGCAAAGCTAGCACATCTGACAAAAATGTAAAACTGATGAACATTCTTAATTTCTCTAAATTTTCATGTGGTTTTATTATCAGATATCTGGATAACAACGCATTGACAGGGCCAGTTCCAAGTTTTAGCTCCTTGAAGAACCTCACGGTCCTGTGAGTATGTTGTATTGTTCTAAGAAAAAAACGTAACAGCCTTTCTCTGTGTTCATATCTTACAGGTCCCTAAACAACAACAGTTTCGATTGCATACCACCGGAACGACAATCCTCTTTCAAGTCAGAATTTACGTTGTTTCTCTAGTCTGATGCATAATTATATCTTTTTTCCAGCGGTTCAAATGTCCCATTATGCGCAAAGGTGCCCGAGAAAATCTTCGCCAAGAAGAAAAGCAACACAAAAATCATAGTTGAAATAGCAGTACCATGTGTAGCGCTACTGTTAGTTGGAGCTGGAATCGCAGTATGCTTGATCACCCGTCGGCCAGCAAGACGGCCAAAAGAACAGGGACAAGTGAACGTTAGTCCAGGTAAGTCAACGATAGTCCAAATAAGCTGCAGATTACAGAGTCCTGGTGGCTTACACGATTTCGTTCTTTCCAGGTTTGACTCCACAGTCTCCAGACTCAAGCACCAGAAAATTCACTTTCAGAGAAGTGACCGACGCAACGAACAACTTCCAAAAGGTTGTTGGCGAGGGAAGCTTTGGGCCAGTTTATTATGGACGCCTTTCAAACGGCGTTGAGGTTGCAGTCAAGGTTTTATCGAGCAACTCAAGGCAAGGCCACCAAGAATTCAAGGCGGAGGTGAGTTTTTTATTTGTTAAAGCATAGATTTGTGTTGCTATGCATGATTAAAATTTGAACCAGATCGATATTCTATCAGTTGTGCACCACAGGAATCTGGTATCCTTTATTGGCTATTGTAATCAGGGGTCGCAACTCATGTTGGTCTACGAGTTTCTGTCAAATGGAACTTTGAGAGAGCATCTATATGGTTAGTGAGCTTAAAATTGATCTGTGGGCTATATATATGTTACAGGCACAGGTCGCCCGACATTAAGCTGGAAAACCCGGCTGCGAATCGCCTTAGACGCTGCTCAAGGTAGGCAAAGTTTTGAGCTGGCAAATTTGGATGGATATATTCTTTGAATCAGGATTGGAGTATCTGCACAGTTCATGCAATCAACAGATCATTCATCGAGATGTGAAAACAACCAACATACTTTTGAGCTATGCCATGGTTGCCAAGGTCAGCGATTTTGGCTTGTCCAAACTTTACGATAGGAATTATGCGTCGCATGTTTCAACTGATGTCAAAGGAACTCCGGGATATCTCGATCCAGAGTGAGTGAGCATGAGGATATAATTTTTTTTCCAACCATATTAATATGTTGGTTTTCCAGGTACCATTCCTACAGCAGGCTAACGGAAAAATCAGATGTATACAGCTTTGGAATAGTACTATTTGAGATTGTTTGCGCCCGTGAGCCCATCAAATCATCGCTTCCAGAGGATCAAGTCGTGCTCTCAAAATGGGTAAGAATTCAGATCTTTTGCTCTTGACATTAACTTTTTCTTTTTCCAGGCATGTAAAGAGCTCGAGAAGGGCAACCTGCGGAGTGTGATGGATGAAAGGCTCTCAGGCTACAAGGAGCAGGCAGCATGGAAGATCTTGGAGGTTGCAATGAAGTGCGTGGAGCATTCTTCTGACAGGAGGCCCAGCATGAGCATGGTTACGGCCGAGCTGAGGGAAGCGATTCATCTTGAGGAGGATGGAAGCTCACTCTATGGTAGCTTTTAACAGAGGAAGATAAATGATGCGTCTTTTATTCTAAATTTATAACAACTTCCAAGAATCACATAAACAAAAGCACACATGACCTACATATTTTGGTTATAATAAAATATTTTACTGAACAAAGAAACTAGCTAAACAAGATATTTTAGTCAAATCGCTCAAAGTAATTGAAAAATTCAGCATTTTGATGAACTAGTACCTGAGGCAGAGGGACCCTTGCGGCACTCGTTTAGAAGATCCAGATAAAACTGGCAGTCACTGCCATTCAAGCTGATACACTGACAGAGAAATAAAATGATAAAGCAGCCATAAAAACAAGAAAGAGCTCTCATACTTGGTTGAAAGCTTTGGTTTGGTTGCTGCAGGTAACAGTGGAAACAGCAATTGTTGGCGATGCATCAGCAAGTTGGAAAGTGTGGGGCCACATCCACTTGGGCTGTGCCAAGTGCCATTCCTGAAATCGCTCAATCAGTTCCATTCCAGGAACATAAGGGGAGAGAGAGCATCTTCTCTTGAGAAAAAAAGAGTGAGACATTTTACTGTGGGCGACCATGCTGCCCAGTCCACCAACTATGCCACTGACTGGAACTGGAGCCCGCTGAGGGGCTGGGGCGTAATAAACTACACAAGAATCAGAACGTCAATTCAAAGTGGCCCTCCTGGCTGGGGCGTAGACAGGAGGTGGCCGAGCTAGATGAAAAAAAAAACGCTTAGAACTGGGAAGAACTAAGTAGCATTCTGCATACCACCACCACGGCTATGTGGCATAGGTACGATAAGCAGAAGAGAAAAGAAAGACAATGTAGGACGGAAGCTTTAGCGCCGGAGTGCCTTTTATTCCGGCGGATGCTGGTGGTCTGGCAAGTGTCCATTTGCTAGCAATCAGCGCCTTGACCAGTTGACTTTCATGGCCTTGACTTTGAGCTTCCAATTCTTTCTTTGAACCATAAAAATACCTGGTTGGCTTTCAATACCGGTTTAACCAATGATTCCAATGTATAAACCAATATACATTTGCCATTTGGCTCATGCCAGCTTGGACGACTCCCTCACTCACATGACAATATAAAATCTGTGAGTAATAGGAAAGAGAACCTGTTCATCCTTTCAAGCGTCCAAAGTCAATCGTGGTATACCTCGTCCTCTTTCTCAGGCATGATGTTCGTCGGAAGATCTCAGGCCTTGGCACCTGGTTCTATTCCCCAAGTTGCGATTGACTGGGAAGGGATCCAACCATCCATAAAACCATGACGACAAACCTGCAGCACAATAAGCTGCCTCTTCTAGCCTTAAGCTGAAGCCGCCTGCCATTAGTTTGCCCGCTACATGCGGGCATACGCATCGGGGTGAAGCAATATTTACCTCGTTCTCTTTCAGCAAAAATGAAAAACCCTCGCTCTTGTGACAGATCAAATTCTGGCACGCTTCTCAGAGATCCTTTGGCCAGTCTTTGCGGGCAGCTCGATCTGGAAGAGTGTTCCAAAATATGGCTTTCCTGGAACACAAACAAACTCACCATTTCGGCAGCTACTGCCAAATTTCCAGCCGCCCCCGCGCAATATTTCACCCCTATGCCACTGACCATCGCACGGCGCCATCGTCGCCGCGCTCGCTCGCCATAGCTAAATAAAAGTTTTGTGTTTAATATTGGAAATTGATTTTTCTTGTGATTGCTCAACTTAATTTTTTTTTCTTTAGAGACTGCATGCAATCGGGTCTCATGTCAGTTGAAAGATGTTCATGGAGTGTCGCCTTCTAGAGGTGGCAACCAGTTGGGCAAGTCAAAGAAGTATCGGACGATAAAGAGAAAACCAAAGAGGAAAACCCAGCAAAAGATCAAGAAAGGAAAGAAAGACCAAGAAGATGCTTCGGTTTTGAAAGCTAGCTGTGAGATTGAGAGTTGGTAAGCATTGCGACATCGTTTGAAAGTCCGCCTTCTTCAACGAAACAGCCAGAGGTGATGGCTCACCGATAAAGGTGTGGAGCTTAGCTGAGCTCTTATGTTTCCACTCGCCACCAGCGCCTCGAGCATCGCGTTCCACGCGAGATCAGCAAGAGTGCCCTCTACGCTGCCGAGAGTCCGCATTCTTGTCCTGGATTGCTGGCTGCTCTAGCTTGGCTCGTCAATTACGACGACAAGGCTCGAGAAATCAAAGGGAATGGTGGTGGATTGGGCTACGGATTTTATTTACCTCACCCAAGCTTATGACGAGTTTCAACTCGTGCAGCATGCAGATCAGCAATGTAACCTTAGTGATCAGCTCTGGAAAGATTCCATGATCCACGGGCATGAAATTAAAGCCAAGAACTGGCACGCACTGCCTGCATGGCTACACGCGGTGCACGAAGGCCGATCCCATCGGCATGGAAACCATTCTGGAGCATCTCTCCAAACAGCTCGATTGCTCGCCCGCAAAGAAGACCCGGAGTTTGGGAGCTCGATATCTCATGCCTGTTCATCCGGACGAGGTGGTGATCGAGGCATTAATTGGATTGAAAGAACAAGAAGTATGATCATAGCTTTAACTTTGGCAAGATCTTCAATGCCATCTTTAGTCCGATCCTGCGACGCGCTTCCATGGAGATCTTCGGCTGGTCCATCTTGTTGGGCTTGTTTGGCAGTGGGGTTTCGAGCTTGGGCACATCTGTTTCCAGCTTCTCAAGCTTGTCCAAAGACTTGAGACCTTAGATCTTGCACAATGCCTCACTGGACTCGCATAGGAGCCTCTTGAGGATCTCGTCTGTCAAGCTGTGGTTGACATCCATCCTCTCCTTTGCAACATCATACTTTGCTTTGCAAGATCGAATCGTTGCTCGAGTCTTCCTTGCTCCTCCTTGTGCCGCTCTTCCAGCTTGTGCAGCTTCACTACCAGGACTATCCCGTCCTCTTGGAGCCTGCCTTGCTCTTGAGCGCTTCCTGCCTCTTGCAAAAGCTCAGGAGCTCCTCTCCCTGCTTATCCAACTTTTCCATTACAAGATTGCTGAAGCTCTCGTGTTTCATCTTGTGCTGCTCGTCCAGCTTGCGCAGTGCCGCTTCCACATCCGCTTCGAGCGTAATCTTCTGCTGCTTGCAAACGCTGAGGAACTCCTCTCGCTGCTCATCCATCTTTTCTATTACAAGATTGTCGAAGCTGGTCTGTCCCATATCTTGTGCTGCTCCAGTGCCGCTTCTTGAGCTCTCACATCCGCTTCGAGCTTGCCCTGCTCGATCTGTGCTGCCCTAGCGCCGCTTCCTGTCTCGTGCAAACGCTGAGGAGCTCCCCCCGCATCTTTTCCAGTACAAGATTGTTTCTTCAGCTTGCGCAAGGCCTCTTGAACCCGCGGTCCTGCGCTGTGACATCCGCTAGCTTCTCCTCCTGATTCTTTTGTGCATCGAGCTCGCCCAAGAGAGGTGCTTTCCGGATCGCATCCTCCGCCTGCGCCATCGCTCTGTAATCCATCTACCTAGAACTTTTCTCCTATTTACAGCCGAGTCCTTCGTCAAGCTCTTGGACACTAGGGAATCCCATCCAGCTTGCAAGCAGTGAGCAGACCCGTGAGAGCAGACAAATCCGCAGGGAAAGGCATGAGGCCCAGCAGCTCCGTCGCCTCGTCCAGCCATCCCGAGCGGCAAAACACGTCCGCCATGCAGTTGAAGTGATCCTTGACGGGCTTGATCCAGAAATCCGCCTGCATTGCCACGAAGAACTCCAGGCTCTGCGACAATCTCCCACTGTGGCTGCTGGAGATCAAGATCTCCGTGAATGTGATCTCGTCCGGGAAGCACAGCCCGTCCAGGATCATCTCGTGAAACACCGTAGATGCCTCGCTCGTATGCCCGTGCTGAGAATACGCCATCACCATCGCGTTCCACGACACCACCGTCCTCTCGGGAATCCGATCGAAGAAACTCCTTGATTCCTGGAGCTCTCCTTGCTGAGCCCACGCCGTGACCATCGACGTCCACGACGCGGCGTCCCACTGTGGACAAAGGTCAAAGCACCGCTTCGCTTGATCTATTTGCCCAAGCTGCGCATACGCCGAGATCGTCGAAGTCCACGACACCACGCTCTGTTCTTCCATTCCGGCGATCAGCTGGAGAGCTCTCTCCGCTCGCCCGCTCCTCGCCAAGCCGGCTATCACCGCGCTACACGAAGAACAGCCGTGCCGGGGCATCCGATCGAGCAGAAGCTCTGCCTGGTCGGTGCAGTCATTGTGGGCGGTGGCGGAGATGACCGCGGCCCACGATACGGGGTTGCGGTGGCGCATCCGATCGAACATCTTGGTGGCGCGGGTGGTGTCCCCGGCGGCGGCGTAGGCGGAGATCATGAGCGTGCACAGGACTGTGTCGTGCTCGGGCGCGCGGTGGAACGCGATGGTGGCATCGACCACCAGGTGATTCTGTGCGTACGCTCCCACGATCGCGCTCCACGACGAGGAATCCCACGCAGGCATTCTCTCGAATGCGAGCCGGGCGCTCCTGGCGTCGCGACCGCCCGAGAACGCTTGGATGAGAGTGGTCCACACCAGCGGACACCGCCTCGGGGAGCGGTCAAAGATCTCCCGCGCCTCGCCCAGCCAGCCACTCTGGCCGTACCCCGCCACTAGCGACGCCGTAGAGGCGGCGTCTCTCTCCGGTGATCGCTCGGATAGCTCCCGCGCCTCCGAGAGGTGCCCAGCTTGGGCATAGCCCGAGACGAGCTCGCCCCATGCCTGTGCGTCCAGGACAGGGAATCGATCAAGAACAGCGCGAGCATCGTCCAGCCGCCCGGATCGAGTGTAGGATTGGAGCAGCGCGTGCCAGGATCCGGAGTTTCTCCTCTCCATCCTGTCGAAGATGGCCCTGGGATCGTGCTCGATGCCGATGAGCGAGAAGGCGATGGCGTTCCAGGAGATGGTTTCTAGATCTAGAGGGGCTTGCCGGATCATCGCGTGGGCCTGGTCGAGATCGCCGTGCTGCGCGCAGCAGGAGATGATGGAGCTCCAGGACGAGGAGCTCCACTGCGGCATCCTGGAGAAGACATCCATCGCGGTGGAGAGCCGCCCTCTCTCGGCGTAGGCGCGGATCAAGACGCTCCAGGCGATGGCGTTCCTCTCGGGGATGAGTGAATCGAAGATGATCCCGGCGGCCACGAGTGCTGTTGGCGATGATCCATCGTTGGCATTGGCATAGATCGTGAGCAGCGTCGTCCAGGAGATCACGTCCCTGGATGGCATTTTCTCAAAGACCATCTCGGCCTTTTCTCTAGAGCGTTGCGATCGAGACTTGAGCAGCGCATTCCAAGAGACTTGGTTCCTCTCGGGCATTTCAGCAAAGAGGCAATCAGCAACATCAAAATGCCCTAACTCGGCATTTGCGTAAATCATCACGTTCCAGCATGGGATGCTTCTCTCAGGCATTTTATTGAACAATTGTGATGCCGATTCGATTTCGCCAGCTTTCGCATAAGATGTGACTACGCTCGTCAAGGAGAAAGCGTCAGCGCAAGGAATCCTTTCAAATATAAAGCTGACGCGATCAAGATCCCCGTCTTTGGCATAAACTGCGATAAGAGAGTTCCAGGAGGCATCGTTTCTCTGAGGAGTTCTATCAAATAATTCTTGCGCGCGATCAATATTTTTGGCTCTACCGTATGCCGCGATCATCGTATTCCACAACACGGTGCTTCGATCGTGGAGCTCTTCGAACATTCTCTCGGCGTGATCAAGATACCCATTGACGGCATATGCCTGGATCATCGCGCTGCAGGACCGCGCGTTTGGAGAATCCATGGCGTCAAGAACAGACTTGGCGTCCTCCACGCTGCCACACTTGCCAAACATCTCGATCATAAGATGGGAGAGGTAGCGGCTGCTGTCCTTGAATCGGCTATCGGCAATGATCCGGTGGACAAGCCTCGCATCGGCGAGGCTGCTGCTCCTCCCGACGTTCCTCACGATCTCTCCCAGCTCCTGGATCGTCTCGGCTCTCTGGCAATCGCCCTTGAGCGCGCGCTTGACGAGCTTCTTCCAAGAGATCATCGTCACGAGTCATGGAGGAGCGATCTGATTCATCGCCGGCCTTCTTCGCGATGGCTGCTGCTTGTAGAAGCTGGAGAGAAGAACATAGTGCGCGCCATCTGCTGGATGGAGCTCCGCGGCATTCGCTGCCGCGGGATCCGCGCGAGTCCCATCGCCGTGGAGCGCGCTCGAATTCAGCAGCATCGACCACGCGAGATTGTTTGGAAGGAATGGCATCCTCTCGACCCACCGCCGCGTTGAGATCCTCTGGAAGAACACCCTAGAGCCGCATTGCCGAGAAGAGATCCAGCGAGCTCGCGATCTGGCCGTTCTGCGCGTATCCAGCGATCATCACGTTCCAGGAGATCGCGTCGCTCCGCATGGCGTCAAAGGTCTCCCTGGCATCGCCGAATGCCAGCGCCAAGGAATTGCAAGCCACGGGATCATTGTAAGTCATCGCCTGGAAGATCGATCTCGCCTCATCTAGCCGATCCATGAGACGATGCTCCGCGTCTCCATCGGCAGGAAGAAGTCCCAGATCCGGCAACTGGCCCGTACCACAGCACAACATTTCGGTCCGGCATGGAATTAAAGAAGAGCTTCGCGTCGTCGATGGTTAGCTCCGCAAGAAGCAAATGTTGCGAGCATAAAAGACCATGTCACAGCATTGCGTTACATCGAAAATAGTCTTCTCGTATTTGAATACCCAGAGTTGTGACACTCTACAAGGACAAGTTAAACTTGCTAAAGATGCCGAAAATGGGTAAATTGTGCTAGCATGGATTCGTTGCGATGGCGCATAGCAAAGGACACGAATTGTGCTTCCTACAACTGCTGGTTTTGAGTGTAGCCGACTAGAATAGTCCATCCAGTTGGTGTGTGGGAGAGAGATATTCGAGGACTTCTAGGGTGTGGAGAGAATGGAAGATTTGGAAGCGTCAATGGGAGATAAAACACCATGTCCTGCTAGTCATCGAATCAAACACAGCCTTGGCGCGATCAATCTGCCCGGCGTGGGTGTAGCACTGGATCATCGTCGTCCAGGTGTTGGCATCCAGCCTGTCCACAAACGCCTTTAAGTTCCACGAGACGATATCTAGCCATCCAGCTCAAGCACAAGGAGATGCCCGGACTCGTGAAGAAACCCGAGTCATCCGCGTGAAAAGTTTTGCTCTTTCCCTCTTGTAGCAGCTTAATGTCTTGGAGGACATGGAAGCTCAAGATTGTGAAGCTACATAAAGCTCTTGTGAGCTAGCTGTTTTAGAAGCATTGCAAATTTTGAAAAAGACAAAATTTGAGAAAATACAAGCTTCTACAAGACTAAGCTTTCAAAATAACTCAAAACAACTAAACTTTCACAGAAAGAAAAAAAAACAATAAAAAAGGGTCTTTCGTACCTCTTGAAAAGCTCTCATCTGGTTGCTGCAGGCATCAGCGGCATCCTTGCAAGAATGAAAAGAGCAAAAGAGACAGTGTAGAAAGCTAGCACCAGACCGCCTTTTATTCTGGCGTAATTAATCGGATGCATGGGCGTTTTGGTGACCAGTTGACTTCATATCCTTCACTTTGAGCTTCCAATTCTCAACGTAAAAATACTTCTGCATGCAATACATATTCAAATAAAACTTTGGTGGTGGGTTTAAATATTAGTTATTGTAAGCTAGCAGATCTTCTTCCTCTTCTCCTCCATTTTCTTGAGCGATGCCCTCCCTGTGAGACTAATAGTTGTATGCATTGGCACGTCGTTTACAAAGTCCGCCTTCCTCGACTCCAAAACAGCCACTTCTAAAGGTGTGGAGCTTGGCTTGCGAACCATTCATTTCCCGGTTTTCTCAAGCTCTTCTGCCTGCTGCACGAGTTGAAACTCGTTATAAGCTTGCTGAGATACTAAAATAAAATGAAATCGCTGCTTCTCGTCCAGGAGAAAGCGTCAGCGCACAGTATTCTTTCCACGATAAAGCCCACTCGTTCAAGATCCCCGTCTTTGGCATAAACTGCGATGAGAGAGTTCCAGGAGGAGGCCTCGTTTCTCTGTGGCGTTCTATCAAATATTTCTTGCGCGCGATGGATATGGTTCACTCTACCGTATGCCGCGATCATCGTGTTCCACAGCGTGCTCTTCGGCGTGATCAAGAGGATGGCATATGCTTGGATCCTCGAGCTCGAGGACCGCGCGTTTGGAGAATCTATAGCGTCAAGAACAGCCTTGGCGTCGTTTACGCTGCCACACTTTCGAAACATCACTGGATCATAAGATGGGAGAGATAGGGGCTGGTGTCATTGAATTGTCTATCGGCAACGATCCGGTGGACGAGCCTCGCATCGCTGGGACTCCTGCTCCTCCCAACGTTCCTCACGATCTCTCCCAGCTCCTGGATCGTCTCGGCTCTATGCCAATCCCTCTTGAGCGCGCGCTTGACGAGCTTCTTCCAAGAGATCATCGTCGAGGATCATCGCTTGCCTTCTTCGCGATGGCTGCTGCTTGTAGAAACTGGAGAGAAGAACATAGTGAGCGCCATCTTCTGGATCGAGCTCCGCGGCATTCGTTGCCGCGAGATCCGCGCGAATTCCATCGCCGTGGAGCGCGCTCGAATTCAGCAGCATCGACCACGCGAGATTGCTTGGAAAGAATGGCATCCTGTCGACCAGCTCGTGGGCTTCCTCGATCCGGCCACACCGTCCCAGCAAATCCACCATGCAGCAGTAATGTACCAGCTGCTGATGCTGATCTCCATCCTCGCGCATCGAGATCCAGATATCCCAGCCTCGATCCACAAGCCCGCCTCTCCCACACGCCGTGAGCACCGCCGTGTACGTGAGATCCTCCGGAAGAACACCCTGGAGCCGCATTGCCGAGAAGATATCCAGCGAGCTCGCGATCTCGCCATTCTGCGCGTACCCAGCGATCATCACGTTCCAGGAGATCGCGTCCCGCTCGGCCATGGCGTCGAAGATCTTCCTGGCATCGCCCATCCGCCCCGAGTGAGCGAATGCCAGTGCCAGGGAATTGCAAGCCGCTGAATCCCTGCAAGGCATCGCCTGGAAGATCGATCTCGCTTCGTCTAGCTGCTGGATCTGGGCGTGAGCGGTGAGAATCTCCGTCCACGAGACGATGCTCCGCGTCTCCATCGCCAGGAAGAAGTTCCAGGCCTCTTGGATCCGGCAGCTGGCCACGAAGCCTTGGAGCATTGCGTTCCACGACACCACATCGCGATCCGGCATGGAATCAAAGAAGAGCTTCGCGTCTTCGATGGTTGCGCGCTCCACGGAGATGGTGAGCATCGCATTCCAGGCGCTCAAGCTCAACGCTGGAAGTCTCTCAAACACTCTCCGGGCTTCTCCCAGGAGGCCCAGCCGGGCAAATGCTACGAGCATGAGAGACCACGACACAGCATTGCGTTCTGGCATCAAATCGAAAATATTCTTCGCGTCATTGAATGATCCACACTCGGCATATCCTTGCAACGTTGCCGTCCACGTCACAACGTCGTGAAGTGGCATCCTTTCGGCAAAACTTTGGGCTTTCTCCAGATGCCGAGCATGGGCAAATGCTGATACCATGGCATTCCACGCGAATTCGTTTCGATGGCGCATCGCGAAGAACACAAACTGCGCTTCCTCTAAGTACTGGTTTTGAATGTAGCCCACGAGAATCGCTGTTGCAGAGACGAGATCAAACACCGGCATCGACTCAAAGACGCTCCTTGCAAGGGAAACTTGCCCGCAACGGGCATGCGCAGTAATGAGGCAATTCCACGAGAGTATCGTCCTGCTCGTCATGGAATCAAACGCAGCCCTGGCGCGATCGATCTGCCCGGCGTGGGTGTAGCACTGGATCATCGTCGTCCAGGTGATGGCATCCAGCGCCGGGGTCCTGTCCGCCACCGCTCTTGCGCTTGTAAAGCTCCCATTCGCCACCAGCGCTGCCAGGAGCAAATTCCAGGAGACGATGTTGCGCTGTGGCATGGAATCGAAGATGTTCTTGGTGTGATCTAGCCGCCCAGCTCGAGCGCAGGCCTGGGCGAGGAGATGCCACGAGTAGATGTTGGGATGGGCAATGGACTGGAAGATGGATCGTGCCTCGTCGAGGCTGCCACAGATGGAGTACATCCCAAGGAGCAAATTGGAGAGGTATGTGCTGCATTGGAGAAGGCCTAAGCGAGCAAGCCGGTAGTGAATTGCCCGCCCTCGTTGCAAATCCCTCTTTTTGGTGCACTCCTTTAGTTTAAGAGCCCAAAGGTTTCCATCCATGCAAAAAAAGATACCCACTATAGCTAATTTAATGTCAAAGTTTAGTTATTTCTGGTTAGATTGAATGATTTGCTAATAGTAGTTTCAACTCGAGAGCTTGATTGTGGCATGAATCCGAGAAATGGACCCATTGTCACGTGGACCACTCATCTTCGCCATGGAAATTGTGGTTGTGGATTGGAAAATCAACCCGAGACTTTGGTGGGGTGCCGGGTTCGATTTCGATCCAGTGCTCCAGTGAGAAGGTCTGGATGAAAAGAAAGAGAAGATGGTGTTCGTGTCGGTGGAGGCAAGGCCACGAATTCACATTCCACTGACCACGGTACGCATCATTCGTTCCACACCCGAGAAAATGCCTCCTTTTTCTGTGTTCTCCAGCACAGATTTGCTGCTCACAAATCCGAGGGCGCGGGCGAGACCTCTGATTCCGGGACCGATGCTGCGGTGCGAATCTCAACGCTGGACGAGCGGCAGTGCTGCAAATTCATGCCGCTCGCCATGCCCGCCACGAAATCCTCGTCCAAGCTGCGCTCTTTCAAAAGGATTTCCAGGAACTCGATCAGCTCCTCGGCCTCCGGCCACAGCCACGACCTGGGCTCTGGCAAATCCGACGAGAATGCGGCCGATTGGATCAACTCGGCCGTCAAAGACCCTCTTGTGGAGATTGACCCAGTGACCATGGAGCAGCTACTTAAGAACAGGGGAGTAGATTCTTCGGCTGGGAGCACCACTCCAGTCGCGATTTCTCCGCAGCCTCTTTGGCAACTCTTTTCGTCGCCGGCGCCGCAAGGATTTGGGAGCGTTCTTTTGGCTTTGGGTGCTACCATTTTCGTCGCAAGCCTTGCTACCGTGGGTTACTTGATGAGAAATCACAGCCAGGGGATCGAGAAGGTCAATTCCTCCAAGGATGGTATTTTTTTCCAAGGAGGGAAATCGCTCGCAGTGGTGGACCCAGGATTGGATGATCCTTCTTATTTGAGTGATGAGGAGAGGAGGCTGGATTTGCTGAGCATTGTCGATGGTGGCGGGGATGGATCATCCGAAAGTGATGGTGTTGGCGACGCCTCCAGAGAAGAGATCTTTGCAACCCCGAGTGAATTGGAACCCGAGGGTGGTGAAATCTTCTTCAAAGAAAACACTGGCAAATTAGAGTTTGAAGATCTGAAAGTCCAGGAACCAGCGAGTTTTTCTGACGAGGTGACAACCAGTTCAGAAGACCATGAAGATCGCACTAGAGGCTTTGAGGGTTTTGAGGCTAGCGGATCAAAAGGTAGTAGCAAAGAAGAGATCGACTTGGAAGAAGATATGGTCACTCCTGAGGTGGTGGTAGCAGCTGCCATAGCAGCGACAGCCTCGCTAAGCAGAGAATTCCAAAGAGCCATCACGGAGAAAAGACAGGAAGCTCACGTCGAAAGCTTGGAGGAAATAGTCGTGGCTGAGATGGATGAATCGAGTGAGTCGAGTGAGTCGGAGGATGACGTGCTGACGAATGATATAGTTAGAGATGTTCTGGCGGACTTGGCTGCTCTGGAAGCGATGGAAAGAGAGAAAGCCGCCATGAATCGTGTCGGAAGCTTGGATGGAGCCAGAAACACTTGGGGAGATGACGAGTTGAAGGCAGTAGAAAAAGCTCGAGATGGTTTGGATGAAGTTACAAGCACCGCTTCAGAGTTGTATGGAAGCTCCAGAGTTGACGACAAAGTTCTGGCTCGACAGTCAATTAGAAGACAAGAAAAAGCGATTCCATCTTACAAATCAAATGATGGTGTTCAAACAGTTGACTACGGTGATACCCACAAAGGTTACGAAACAAAGCAAGGAGAAGAACTAAGAAGAATCCATAGCTCCGATGATTCACAAGAGAAGGTACTTTTAATTCCATCCTTGAATGAATTTTATTTTGTAACATGTGTTTCGTTCCAGGAAGTTCTTTCTTTGAAAGCTTATCCATCAGCTGATGTTGATGTGGAGGTGACTCAATTGATTCCCAACTTTACTTTTCACTCGGTTTTTACACAATCTTTTGCAGAAACTTAATCACACTCCTGGTCAACATTCTCGAGACAATATGGTATGGTGATTTTGAAATTTGGAATGCTGATTTTGATGTCATTACCAATTCCACCAGTGGATGACAAAATCAGAAAAAAATGATAATCAAATGGTTTGTTTATTTTGTTTATTTTATTTTCATTTTCTAAATATGTTAAATATCAGATTTACAAAGATTACAAAGAGGAGATCAAAAAAATTGTACAAGCTGTAGTTCCAGCAGTTGCAGTTGGAGCTGGTGCCATAAGCATGATTAATGGAGGTAATTTCATTTTCTTTTATTCTCTGTTGCTATTTTTTTTTTATTAGTTGATGCTGCACTAGAAATGGTGGGTTTTGCTGCAACTGCAAGCTTTGTATGGTATGATTTATTATGGGCTGAAACTAGGTAAGAAAAATTATAAGTACTAAAATAAATTTACATTTGTGGCTTTCTCATAGGCAAGATCTTTATAAGGACTTTCAAGGCATAAAAAATCACAAGGAGTTGCTTCAATTTTTAAGATCTAAAAAAATTGTTCAACCAAAGGTTTAGAAAAATTTATATTCATTATATAAGTTATCACCACGATAAAATTAATGTTAAAATTAAATTTATCATCATCATTTTGCCCTAAACTTGCAAGGAAGAAAGGTATACACCCCTATATGGAATATCCTCTATCATGCTCAAAATACTTATATCAAAAAATATTTATGCTCCAAAATGCTTTACAACAAGTGACCATGCATGCATTGAGTAGCCCCTTCACATAAAAAGAACCCATGACCTATAGCTTTAAAAATCTGTAGCCAAAGAAAGAAAATACCCAAGACAAGTAACTGTAGAAAGAGAGTGAAATAACAAAAAAACAAAAAGGATAAAAGTGTGGAATTTGAAGACAAAGGGAAAATTTAGTGGAAAACTCTATAGTTAAATTAAACCTTTGATCCAATAAAAAAAGGAGAAAGTGAAAGAAAAAGATTGAGATCAATACCATTTAGAAAAACTATGACCCAAACACAACTCCATATTAAAAACAAAGTGAAAGAACAAAGAAATACAAAAAAAGAAAAGAGCAAAGAGAATGAAGTTTTGCAAGTTTAAAACTTTTATGCAACACGTCTAAAATCACTAACCAAAGGAATCTCTTAAGTGTCATTGTGAAATCCTAGAACTTGCCATTTGAGATGGAATAAAACTCATATCAAATATCCATGATAAAGTACATGGTGCCCAGAGATGTACTTGAAAGTCACACATTAGTGCATAATAGATCACAATAAGGTGGATACATTGCCTTTATAGTTGGCCAAAGAAAGCCTCTTGTGAAAACTCTACTATAGCACCAAATGTTGGCAATAAGAGAAGATTATTGTCTTTTAGAGATAGTAATATATGCTTAACCTAGAGACTTGCAATAGCCTCCTCCACCAAGTCTGGTATAAACTCAGCCTCAAATAAAGAGGTCATACTCTCTAGAGAACTCTTCTACAAAAGAGAGGTATCTATAAGAAACTCCACAATGCTTTTCTTCACAATTTTCTGGTGCTCTGGCTGCTCCAAAGGTGATATAACTTCAATATGAGTACTCTAAAGCTCCTTTACTAGTTGTGGAAGCAAAATTATGCCTTGATCAATTGCTAACTCTGAATCCTTTATAGTGGGCATTTAGGGAATTTCTAAAATCTTTGCCATATCTTGCATTTGATTGGTCCCAAACACATTCTGAATATATGAATATATATTTGAGAATCCCATGCTAATGTTGTCCAGTAAGTGTGAAAGGAATCAATGTTGCTGCATTCCACCATCATAGTTTTTAACAACTGTGCAATAGAAAGAATCTATGACATAGGGGCATTCAATTGAATGTGTGATGGACCTGGAGGCTCTAGGATCGAGTCCTCCTCATTTCTCCAAGAATGCTTTGGTCTTGGGTAGTCATAAACTTCCAAGTCGGGCAAACTCTCATTGTAAAGAAGTTGTAGGAAAACCATAAATAGATCATCATATTATAAATGATTAAATTTTCCATTCTACTTTAATCACTTAACCACACTTCCAACCACTTGAAGGAGTTTCATTCACAATCTCCATAAATCCTCTTCCAGACTTAGGGACTTGCTAGCCCTGAAAATGGCATCCATACCACTCAACCTTTGCACTTGGTTCAAGTGCTTCATGTGCTTGATCCCATGATTGACACTTAAATGTACCACCAACATATCAACTTGTTACACTAAAACTATGCTCATTCACCTTTGTCACAATAGTGATCCAACACCATCTACATCATAATCCCATCTCTTGAAGACTGAGCCATCTGTCCATGAGTGATCATTACAAATCCACTTCTTATTATCTTTAGGATGCCTACAAACATGGGGAATAGCCTTCTCTAATATCCCTTTTTCAATCCTCATCAAGTCCCTTTCTGTTCACAGCCGTGTTTGCCAACACTGCCACTGAGTTAAAGCTTGAAGGCCTAACCATTACGTCCTATTGACCTCTAGGACTTCCTTGCAGTATGACCGCATCCTTGGTCATCATATAAGAGGACTACTCCTCTTCTTGTCCACAATTTAGGACTCTGGGATGACATTTTGAAACACCACGGCCCTACACGAGCCTCATGGGTACTCTTCCCACCATTCGCCTTTAGGTACCCTAGCTAGGTGACTAAAGCGAGGTTTCGATGAGCCACACCAGGTATCCAAGTAGGTAGTGCCACCTACACTTGGACTAAAAGCATTGATCATTCAATCTCCCAAAGGAGCTAGAGCCGACTCATGAACACTTTACCAAGCTACCCCACTTGTTTATCCATATTCACTTTAGCCTTAAACTTTCTAGTGGTTATATCATCACTCAACACGTGGGTATAGCCTTTTTGAACCACACTAGCCTTTCTTGGCCAAACAAATTCCACTAGAGTCCAACCCACACACTCTCCCTACTGTAATTTTGGAACCCCTTATAGCCCAGCCCCCACCCCCCCTGGGGGACGATCGCTTTGGGCTTTCACCCAATAGCTTGTATTAGTATTCGGACTCGGACTCGAACTCGAACTCGGACTCAAACTCGAGCTCGGACTCGGATTCAGACTCAGTCTCGGACTCAGACTTAGACTCAGATTCAGTCTCGATCTTGGTCTCGGTCTTGGTCTTGATTCCATCTTAGACTCCATCTCAAACTTTATCTTGGACTCCATATCAGACTCCATCTCAGGTCCATCTTGAACTATTTTGGACTTTATTTTGGACTCCATCTCAGACTCCATCTCGAATCCATCTCGGACTCTATCTTGGGTCCATCTCAAACTTTATCTCGAACTCCATCTCGGATTCCATCTCAGCCTCCATCTCAGGTCCATCTTGACACTTCCACATATCATGTGTTAGTCCTCTTGTGTCCCTTTTCCAGAGACTCACTTATTGCTTGCTTCATGCTTATTCTTTGAGCACTTTGTTAAGAGTTTCACTCCTGCTCTTGACTTTTCAAGTCAAAGCTTTTAATTCAAATATGTTATGCTCGTTTGTCTTCCACTTCAGGCATTACCACATGGCACCCTTTTGGCTCCACTTTTGGGGCTTTGGGATTTGTGTCTCATAAATACTTCTATGTCTCTATTATGCTCACCACCTTCTGCTCAACTTGAAGTCTTTGCCCACGCTTATTAAGAAGAGTTGCAAACCATTTTCCATTTGAGATGGTCATTGATCCCAAGTGCCAACATGTATCACAATCCATTATTTCATGCCAAGACTGACTAAAGATGACATAGTTTCAACTATGTGAAGCTTAGCAAATGTCTTAAGAATGATTGTTGTAGTAAATAACATCTCTATGCCTAGATGATTATAAAGTGTAAAGAAATTATGTTGCTCCCAGTACTAGAGTCCAAGAGTGCTCTATCAATCATTGTATAAGTGATCCCAATTAGTGTAAAAAAAGCACTTGGATCCAACTGAATTGGACAATCCACAAGCTGCACTTGTTCATTGGAAGGTGCTTGGGAAGCACTAGAGTTAGGCTAGAGTCTAGAGAACTAAACCAGTTACAACCAAGCCCTAAATGCATTAGAGTAAGTCACCAAGAGAAACATTGAGTTGGATTGCTTGAATTTACTCCAACAAATGTGTTAGGAGTGTGGCTTTGGTTTTCTAAGAAAAAGAAACACTCTAATGTAAATTTCTAGGCAAAACTTACCCTAGTTAAGAAGTACCAATTGGAATTGAAGATGCTGCTACAAATGCTCGAGAGAAGGGCAAATGCACCTCTATAAGTGGAGATGGTGGTGCTTGATCAAACTTAATAGTAGTTGGGATCTTTTTCTTCTTGCCACCAGTAATAGTTACAATGGTCTTCTCCATTATAGGTTCCACTCATTCAAAAGTTTTGCCACAATCTTGTAGTGGTGGGGCTTTGATGGCTTTTTGTTGCAATGCTACCTAGTAACCATCTACCTGAAAGCTTAAGTTGTCTGCAAAGGGCTATATTATAGCTTGTTGTTGCTTCCTGGGATGTTGTTTTGGGTGTAGCTTCCAACAATAATTGTAATGTGAGCAATAATGATGTGGCTTGCAAGAAGAGGCTTGTACCTTGAAAGCGTGGATTTCCTCCAAAAGCCACTCTTGCTACTATTGCTAGAGTATGAATTTTTGTTGCTGCTAGAGTAACACAACCTTGTATTGTTGAAGTTTTGACATGGCCGAGGAATACAAGAGTTTGCAGTTGGTGCCAATGATGGTGGGCGTCCTAGAGAGTATACATTATTGTAGTGGGAGACAGCCTAAACATTTTTGCCATACTAAAAACATTTAAATCACATCAAATCATTCTCAATCTCCATGATATGATCATATATATTGCTACATTTGGAATGGCATTACTTAGCCACCTTTTGTTGAATCTTTGGCTTGAGCCTAATCACATAAGTGGAGATAGCTAGATTCTCCTCCTTTGTCACCTCTTTTGCTTAACAAATCTTCTAATATTGCTTGAATCATGTCATGTAATCAAACACAAATTTATTACCATCTTGCTAAAAGAGGAAAAACTTATGAAACACTTGTTGTGGGCTCTTCTCCTTTCCCTGCTAATGATCTCATAAACTCTACACATTGTGCCACATTAGTCAAGATATAATTGGAGGTATAATATTGGGCAAAATTGTCTATATGATTCTATGGGAGAAACCTTGAAGTAGGATCAAACATAGGTAAATCTATAGTACATTAGAGAAAATGAATTTTTGGCTGCTCCATTCAATCCACTTTCAAAATTTGTAACTAATGAAGAAAACTTGCTATCTAAGATGCATTTCTAGAAATCTAGCTCATGCTACAACCAAGAGAATTGCCCTTAAGCTTGGAACAAAAGAATAGTTTGTGTCATAAACTCTAAAAAGTTATTCCTTGTTTGCACAGGTCATGAGCCGCAAATGCCTAGCAATGGCAAATGCCAAGTCATGCCACAAACCAAAGAAATGTTTAACTATAATATACCTCTACCTCAACTAGCATGTTTAGAATATGTCTTAAGCTCTAATAACCAACTGTAAATATGAAAATTACCTAGCTCTTGAAATAAATAAGAGTTATACACCAAGAAAACTTCAACACAAACAAGAGGAAATATGAAAATTGGAAAACTTGAGTTAGCTGCAATGAAAATGGGTGCTTATTAGAAAGCCCTTGACATACCCTAACTCTAAAAAAAAAAAATCTTGGAAAATTTAAGTAGAAAAGAGGCAAAAAAACTCTAAACTCCTCACAGACAACACAAAAAGAGAAATGATGTTAAATCTCTTAACATATTACTCATGAATAGGAATCAAAAGAAAAACAAGAATATCGTCTAAGAAAATCTTTATAAATTCATGTAAATAATAATCAAACACTTTCATTATCAATTGAGAAAATGTGGCTGGAACATTTGTCAATCCAAACAGTATAATTGTGAAGTCAAAATGGCTTAAGTTCATGTTAAACACTATTTTAGAGATAGATATATCATTTATCACAATTTAGTAATATCCACTCTTCATATTAATCTTGGTCACTAAGTTTGTTTAAGATATTATCCACACATGACATCAATATTTTATCCTTCATTATTTTTTTATTCAAGGTATAAAATTTGCATTTATGCATTATTCTTTTACACAAGCAAGATTGGTATGCTAAACAAAAACTTACTTAGCTGAATAAATCCAAACTTAAATAATTCTTTAACTTGTCTTTGTCTTTAAACCTTTATATAGCTTTAGCATAATCTACCTTGACATTTTGTAAAGCTTAATTTCTTTTATCTTATGCAAAATATACATGCCAGTTTGTTGGTCTTAAGTTCTTTGAGTAGATTTGTCTAGATTCACGAGCTTAAGCTCGCAAAAGTCTGGTTCTTTTTTAAAAGTTCTCAATTCATTTAATGCAAATCTTCATTGTGTAAAATTGATTTATTTTGTTCACATGGACACTAAGGAAAGGCCAAGAGTAGTGGAGTCACCTTAGAGGCAAATGGCCCAAAAGTAACACCAAGCTACTCTTTACACTTTACACTTGTTTAGTCCTTATGGAACATTGGACATTGCTCTGAAAGCCCATGAGTCATAAATTTATGAAAGACTTGGTGAACTTCTTTTCAAAGAATGGCAAGGGTAAGTGCTTCTATGGGATGGGAACGATATTTATATTTTAGGCATTGATTTATGGTGTACTTAGCCACGTTGTGCTCGAAGAAACCTCCACATAGCAATTATCCCCACCATTGCAACAGTGGCAACCAGGAGCTGGCCAAGTGCTACACCACGGTCTCCAACCATATCAGCAGCGGTGCCCCAAATCGCCCCAAGCAGCCTTCCGCTATAATTCGAGAGTTGAACGGCAATAGCAGCCCTGTCCGAGGATTTGTTTCCCAGGTTCTTGGAGAGAAGTGAGAGTGTGATGCTGGAAGCAGTGTTAAACCCAAGACAAACCACGAACCACTGTGCTGCGTAGGATGGAAAGTTCATGTGTCCACTGTTCCCTCCAAGCAGGATATAATTTGCAACAATCCCTGCCAAACCTAAAAAGCACCCAGCTGCCAGCCAAAGTCGATCCTGAATCTTGTGAGCCAATGCCGGCATTGTTGCCACAAGAAAAACTGTCCCCAATCCGATGAGTCCGATGAAGTTTCCTGCTTCGAACGCGTCGTAGCCGAATTTCTTCCATGAATATATTGGGATGGATGTTTCCCACGACCCGAGCTCGAAGAAGATAACGAACGCTGTGTAACTCATCAGGCAGGAGACAAATAATGGAGAAACGACAGCCCGATTGCACTGGAAAAATGAAGTTTAGAACCCAGCAACGCGAGCACACCTCAGTACCTCAAGATGGCTCATTTGAATTGAGACTTGATGATCGTCGGGCTGGAAAAAGAGCAGATAATTATGTTAAGAACGTTTATTCCAGCAAGCTCGGGCAATCCATACCTGTTGCTGAAGCTGGCTTGCTTCTCCAGGGCTTGAACTGACCTGGCCACGGTGCTGCTGGAAAAATGGGAGAAATGAAGTTTAAAAACCAGCAACACGAGCAAACCTCGGTACAACCGAAAAAGCATTAAAAACGTTTTTCCCGGCAAGAGGCTTCTGCCTCTTCAATCCATACCTGGCTTGCTTCTCCCTCAGCGCATTCGCATTGAGTGTCATATCTAGAGTCTCTTGAAATTCCCCTGACCTGGCCATGGTGCCGCTGGAAAGATAGAAACCAGCGAGCAAACCTCGGTACCTCAAGCTGGCTCATGCGAATTGAGCTGTCGGGCTAGAAAGAAAAAGCATTAAAAACCTCTTCAATCCATACCTGTTGCTGAAGCTGGCTTGCTTCTCGGGCCCCTTCTCCCTCAGCGCATTGGGATCGAGCGTCATATTTAGAATCCCTGACCTGACCACCAATACACACAGAGAATCAGTCATTGCTGAACGAAATTCACATCTAGATCCCTGCAAAACCTCTAGGCGACTGTCATGATGCTCATGAAGCTGGAGAAACGATGATAAGAATTAAAATGATTGACTAGAATTCAAACCTGGTCGGCAGTATCGGTCACGTCTTTGAACAGGACTTTTGTCAGCAACCAATAGATGCTCCAAACCACTGCCATAAACCAGCCGGGCAATGTGTTTTTGTTGAACAATGCTGTTTTCATGGGAATCCTTGCGAGAAATCCTCCGACGATTGGCCCCGGAACCATTCCCAGGGGCTGGGCGAGAATGAGCAGGCTTGTACACGTCGTTCGCCTCCGGACACCAACAATGCAAGGATCTGTGCAGTACCTCTTCAGAAAGAAGCACCCGGTCAAACCAATCCCATTTATCATCCGCCCCAGGAGAACGAGGTAAAGAACTCCAGTCCGATCAGCAATGATATGCCCAAGAATCAGGCAAGCCGATGATAAGTCGAGAGTTGGGCTGTATTTTCTCTTGAACTTGGGCAGCTTAGAAAGTGGAATCACCAAAATGAAGGAGACGAGAGTCACCACTCCCACCGTCAATCCGCTGAAAAGGGATTCTCCGCCCAAATGCTTAGTGTCTGATAGACAAACATTGTATTTTAAAGAAGTTCTGTCGTCAAAAATCACTTACATGATGTGGCGGTGGGCACGATGATGAAAAACGAGAGATTGAATAGGAAATTCGCTGAAAGAATTATGCATAGGGACATCAAAGGAGGGAACCGAAGCTCGTCCATTCCTGCTCTTCCTTGTGGTGGTGATTCTCGAGCTTGCCCTGTCTGAAGCTGGATCATTGTGATCGTCCCTAGCCAATGTAGTCAGCCTTATTTGTCTTTGGGTGTCTTCGTACTTCCATCTTTCTGTGATCTTCTGAATCTGTGGAGTTCTTGGGAGTTTCTTCTTGAGTTGCGGGGCAGCTTCTCCTTTCCTGCAACACGTTTTTTAGTGCGGTTACGGCTATATTCCCTCCTATGAATGAAGTGATTTATATCACAATCAATTTATTATTGGCAATTGGCAACTGCCCCAGGGGAGGTAAATACATCGAAACATATGTCTTTTCAGGTAAAAATATGAAAAAGACTTGGTGTAAAAAGTGAAATAGTGTGAGAAAGATTTGTGTTCATATGTTTTTTTTTTTTCATATATTGTCATGCATGGGCATACATTTTCATACATTTGCATATTTTTCCAGCTTAATGCCACCTATGGAATTGCAACTCAACTTCATTGCCACATTAGTAAGTAACATGGCCTTTTGAGGTAGCTCAAGGGTGGTTAAGAACTTTAAGAGGAGATACCATCTCCCATACCATGACAAATCACATACATGATGTGGCCGTGGGCACAATGATGAAGAATGAGAGACTGAATGGAAACTTCGCTGAAAAAATTATGCATAGGGACATTAAAGGAGGGAATTGAAGCTCGTCCATTCTTCCTTGGTGATTCTCGAGCTCACCCTGTCTGAAGCTGGATCATCATGATCATCCCATGTCCTTCATTGAGTGTAAAGGAAAAGGGAAAGGCCCCTTTTCTCTCCCTAGGTATGTCTTTGGGTGTCTTTGTACTTCCATCTTTTTGTGATCTTCTGAATCTCGGTGGAGTTGTTGGGGAGTTTCTCCTTGAGTTGCCAGGCAGCTTCTCCTTTCCTGCAACACGTTTTCAATACAGTTACGGCTATATTCCCTCAGCTATGAATGAAGTGACTTGTATCACAATCAATTTATTATTGGCAGTTGACAACTGCCCCAGGGGAGGTAAATACATCGAAACATATGTCTTTTCAGGTAAAAATATGAAAAAGACTTGGTGTAAAAAGTGAAATAGTGTGAGAAAGATTTGTGTTCATATGTTTGTTTTTTTCATATATTGTCATGCATGGGCATACATTTTCATACATTTGTATATTTTTCCAGCTTAGTGCCACCTATGGAATTACAACTCAACTTCATTACCACATTAGTAAGTAACATGGCCTTTTGAGGTAGTTCAAGGGTGGCAGTAATATTAACTAAGATCTATTCAGATTTGCTCATGCAATAATTGGTATAAACGAATGCTTGCTGATTTTGCTACATTTATTATGTTTTATTAATTGTTGTTATGGTTGGTTTTGATAGATTAAATGTTATTTCTTTTGAGTGATATATTTGCAAACATTTTACTTCCTCGTTGGTGATACTTTGTATTCTTTGAGCTATCTTTCATAAATTATTTAGCATGCTATTGTAACACACTGTACCTCTCTCCCCTTAAACCAAATGGGCCATTATTTGATAAGAGAACTTTTAATGACTATTTTATCCCTAGTGACAGTATATCCAAATTTTATATACTACACTCACCCCCCTTTTAGAGATATCAACATCTTCATTAACTATTGACTAACAAACCCTATTGAGCCAAGGGAAATTAACACCTCCATTTCTAATTGAATTTACTAATCCTTTCATTATATAAATCAGTTATTCTATATGAAGCAACTACTTGTATGGCAGTCTCATAGTGGATACTTTCGTCTGTGGATATTTCAATTTTAAGGGTAGGAATATACTTTATTTAAGGGTATATTATATTTTAAGTAGCCACTAATCAATGGGAATCGATCTTGTGCCATTTTCTTTAATATCACATATAGCACACTCTATCTCTCTCCTCTTAAACCAACTAAAAAAAGGGTAATTGCTTGATAAGAGCTCTTATTAGTGGTTATTTTATCCTCATTTATCCCCCAAGATTCTAAGGATCTATAGTGATAATATATCTAAATCTCATCTCATGATTATATACACTATAGCTATCTATAATCTTTGGTAATTAAGCTTTATCATTGAGTTTTCTTGATGATATATTTGCCATTTAATTTTGTTTGATAGTTAATCCTATGACTTTCACCTATATGATCTCAGTGGTTGGTTCTTATACTTTAATTTTGGTTTATTGGATGATAACTTACTTGGAATACTTTTATGTTCTAGCCTAAGATTTATTCATTGATAATTTAATCTTTAAGATATCATTGTCTTTGACTTTGATGTTGTTCATTTGTTAATTTTTGGGTTTGGGCTAGTATAAGTAGATTGGCTTTGGCACTTCCTGTATATGGTGACATCTTTAGTCATAGAGTAGCTATTATTGACTTGTTATATCACCTACTTTTTTCTCAATGTTCTTTATTTTGTTAAAAGGGCATGACCATATAAACAACTCTAATTACCTATTTATAAAGCTTACCAATAGGCTTGGTTTGTTTGCTCATGATGGTTAGAGCCTCTGGCTTCTCTCTTTTTGTCATTTGTAGATAGGGGTATATCATTTTTTAAAAGTTGGGTGACATTTACAATAGCAAGGGTGGCAAACTTTGTTAGTCATTTCCTTGTTGGTGACGGTTAGAAAAGTGTCTGTGTTGTAACACATTTGTGTTAGATAGAGAGGTTGCCTCTTAACTTATTTAAGTTGGTGCATTTCTCAGAAATTGTGAACACTATAAACTTTTTTTGGAGTTATTTCCTTGATGGTGATCTAAATTAAAGTATGCATCGATGAGGATGTTGATCTTCCCTAAGGGGGGGAAAGTGATGCCAATGTGACTATGTGTATTAAAAGTTATCTGTAGGCTAGTCATTTCAGATATTCTTTCCTTACTGCTATGACAGTATAAGGTTAGTATTGTTGAACACTTTTCAGTCTCCAGTTAAGCTGATTGAGAAACTAATCTTTGCATGTGCACTTGGCTAGAAAAGAAAAAGGACAGAATTCCTAATTGTTATTAGTCAAGCACACTTGACTTTTTTAGGAAAACTCATTTGTTGGCTGAAACACAATAAATGAACTATGCATATGAACATTTTTCTGATAGTCAAGATTACGACCTTAACACTCAAGGTTACAATCTTGACAGTCAAGACTCAGAAAGAAGTGGTGGTTGCCACTATATAGGAGTAATTAAGAGGGAGAGTTAGCACTCAATCCCTATCCCTATGTACTCTAGTTTATCACCAATGCAATTTGGAATATTTTAGTGATGTCATACCTATCATTACTCATGACCACTTGTATAAGCCTTCTTAGGGATTGAAAGTCTTAAGTTAGTTTTTAATTGATTCATGTGTTAGATAGCTTGTTCTAGGGTGAGAATTACTGTACTAATGCAAGATCAATGACATCAGGTTTTTTGCAACCATAGTAGCAAACCATCATAGCTAGTTCTTCACAAAATTCATTCTTGCTCTTGCAACAAAACTATAACTTGACTTCACCAAATTTTTTTTAGTTTTCACTGACAACTATAGTGGAATAAGAAACATTGCAAAAAGAGCTGAAATCCAAGTAAAAAACACCAAGAAACACACTAAAGAAAAGAAAAAGGGATGAAGATGGTGAGATTGTGAAAATTTCAATGAAATTCAATAAAAAGAGGATTATCTAATTCAATTGAAGATGGTAGAAAACCATTACACAAGCCTCCACTGAAATTAACACAGTTACAACTGACATTCAAGAACACTTAAGACTAAGGGATTCAAGATAGTTTTTTAAAGATATAAGAAAATTTTTCCTAACACTTAAGAATGTTTTCTTGAGAGTCAAGAAAATCAATGATAGCGAATGAAGCAACATGATTGTCCTTTTGGAGACTGAACATGTACTAGGTACAAGGATTATCTTTTTTGTGGTTTCCAGAATTGCATCAACCTATACACCAAGTGTTACCTGAAGAGGAGATGTGTTTATTGCATAGCCAAGAAAATTACTTTGAAGATAAAAGACAAAGAGGAAACTAGCAAAGTATCAAAGAAAAAAGAAAACTAAGAAGGATGGAAGTATGCACAAGCAAGAGTATATCTGGTTTGACCACTTTGTAACAGTCTAAAGACTGACGTGAGTAAACTAAGGTCATATTTTCTATCACACTTTTATCAATTTATTAGGAACACATAAACAAGAAATTTTTTTACCAATTACTTTATTTTTCGATAACCAACTTTCTTGAGTACTAGCAGCAACCAAAAACAAGACTGTTGAACAACAATACTATCAACTCCTTGCTAGATAAAGAAATCCCAACACTAAAAAAAACACAATGATTTTACTTCGATTACTGCAAGGACCAATCAGTGACACACTTCTAACAACAACATTTACCTGAGTTCACGACTATGCACATTTATCACAAATATGACTTTGGGTATCGAAAGTTATTTATTGGCCAGTCCTTATAAACATTCTTTTCTTACTGCCACGATGGCAAGAGGTTAGTATTGCTAGACCCTTTATCAGTCCCTCTTATACTAATAGAGTTAACTAGGCATTTCGAGTGTATTTAGACCGGACAAGCATAAGGACAAAATTCCTACGTACTATTAACTAAACATACTTAGCTCAGTAAGGAGTTCCTATTTTATTATGTCTTGCATTGGCTAGTGACGAGCCCGGGTAGGTTTTGAGCTCATGAGTTGAGCCCACGACTTCTCAAACACAAGGAAAACATTGGTTCGTCCCGAACCAACATCTTTTCATTTTTCAAATTTTGATTTAATCTATATTTCCAAGTAAATTTGATCAATAAAATACAAATATAAATATAAATCCGAACACCAAAAGTGATCTAGAAACACTTCTCAAGCTCTGCAATTGTAAGGCTTGCTTGATGGATGTGATGGTCGACCTTAGGATCTTGGTTTAGCTCCTGCATAAAAATGTAATAAATGTGCT